CTTTTGATTTATTTGTATTGTGAGCCGCCCTGAGTCCTACGGGATTGGGCAGCATACAAGTGTTATTAAACTTTGAAACTTTGAAACTTTGAAACCTGTTGGAATGACCTTGGTTCCCATGGGAGAGCTCTTTATTTTGTCTACGAGATGGTCTAGCTATTTCCCCCTCATCCTGCCCTCGTATTGTGTGGCAACTATGAAGCAGCACAAGATAGCTTCAGCCACGTTTGATTCAGAGTTGACACTAAGGTTCATAATACAGGGTCATTTATTTTACGAGTTGTTTGTTTCTTTATTATGTTCAATTTGGATATAGTCTTCTTGCTTAGGTTGGGGTTTCTCATTTTGTAGGTTGAGTTTCAGAGTGGCTAGAGTTTTCTCTAGATGCGGGCTGGATGCATCACATGCTGGCCACGCCCATGCTCAGTTTATGAAAGGGGGGGAGTCCTGATTTGTCACATGACGATGCCATGATGACATAAGTTTGACACCCCTGTTCTAGACCCTCTTTATTTTCTCTTCCAGTAGAGATAGTCCTTGACTAATTACCACAAAATGTATGTTGTTAAGTGAGACATTTGTTAAGTGAGTTTTGCCCATTTTATGACCTTTCTAGCCACAGTTGTTAAGTGAACCATTGCAATTATTAAGTTAGTAACACAGTTGTTGTGATTGTGGCTTCCCCATTGATTTTGCTTGTCAGAAATTTGCAAAACCTGTTCACGTGACACCAGAACACTGCAACCATCATAAATATGAATGCCAAAATCCAAATTTTGATCATATGACCATAGGGATAGTGCAATGGTTGTAAGTGTTAAAAATGGTCATGTCACTTTTTTTTCAATCCTGTTGTAACTTTGAATGGTCACTTAATGAACTGTTGTAAGTCGAGGACTACCTGCAATTCATTTAGTTTACATTTGCTATGCGTGTAATTTGGATCTTGTATGGATGTAAGTATATACATAGAACATATGTTACAAATGACAACAGTTTTTTCATGACTATGTTTCTTTTTGCTAGTTTATTTAAGGACTAAATTTTTTAAAGTTTATAAATGTTCAAAATGTAAAAGATTTAACCACAGATTTAGAAGAAAATTAATTTAAAAAATTTAAATTCTAAAGTTCATTTAAAAATATAGCAATATGTAAAAGTATGCCTTTTGTTATACACATCTTTTTGCAGGAAATCTCTGGCTGCTTTTTAGGATACAAATTAGATAAAATCCCAGGTCTTTCTGAGACGACTTTTATTTTTTGTTCCAGCATGCAGGACAGAGGTTATGAGCAGCCTGTCCCTCTCTGTGTAATTATGAAAGAGCCTCAAACTTTTGAGAAAAGCCCTTATGTTGGAAACTATAAAAACAATTCTGAGGATTCATCATGTTATGAACTCTTTTATGATTCCCTATCAGATATACAAGATGGGGACTTTTCACATGAACTATCTGCCTTTCTCAGTGAAGATGAGATAAACAAAAGCCTTGAAGTTGCTCATCAATCCATTAATTCTGTTGAAGAAGAAGTTAAGCAAGAGTATTCTTACTTTAACACTTCTCCAAACTCACCAGAAAATGCCTCTTCTGGGCAAGCCAAAGCACATGACAGTTATCCTCCCAAGAAAAATTGCGCAACCAGCTCCACCTCCTTGTGGCCCTCATCTCAAACTCCTACAGAGCAGCAGGATCAGAATGCATATCCTCAAGGAAAAGATGGTAAACAAGCAAGTGCTTTTCCCTTCCTGCCTGCAAGACCCAGCTTTATCCGAACTCTAAAAAATGCTGAAAGGTGTAGTTTAAATGGCCAAAAGGTGAGCCCTAAATCTAAATCAGTTTTGACAAGTACTGTCCCCTCCAAGAATAAGCTATGTGATAAAGCTGCCACTTTGATTGAAGAACTGTCTTCTATTTTTGATGAAGCAGCCAAGATGAGAGTTGAGAATCCAAATGGAAATTCCTCATCTCCAGATAGTGGGTATCTTTCTCCTAAGAGGAAGCAATTAGCTTTGTCAAATTCTTTAAAGAATTCAGTACTTGAAACAAGTTTAGAAATCACACCCAAAAATGAGATCTCAGAAGTCACTCAGGTTAAAGAATGTGTGGGCCAAAGGAAAGAAGACTCTCAGATTGGTGAGACTGTCTCTCAAAATGAAGTTGCAAAAGAAAGTCAGAATCAATTATTTCCCCCTCGATTTATCCAGAAACTGAGAAGTCAAGAAATTCTTGAAGGAAGCAAGGTTCTACTTCAGTGCAGAGTTGCTGGAAACCCAGAACCTCAGATCAGGTAAGTTTTGAATATTCATCTTTGAATAAGTATTCATTTTTATTTTTTTTGTATATGATTTTCAACTTCCTTTCACTTGACACTTTCCATCTGGTACATCTATCAGTGGATCGGTAAGAAAAAAAACACACACACTCAAAAGTTTTATATTCCATTCTGTCAGTTAGCTTAGAAAGGAAACTTGCAAAATTCAGTTTTACCTGGTGGGAGAAAGGAGGAAGTATCCACCTGTGGTGTTGTTATTATAGTGGTTCCCTAGTGAACTAATTTAAAAAAGACTCCGCATTTCAACAACCCATGATAGGAAAACAGGCAACCTAGTAAATCAGGATGAAATGGCTATGGTCATTTCTAACTATTGCCTGGAGGTGATGGGGTGTTTCTACCACAGCACCCAATAGCCAATTGGAGCAGATTTATTTGCATATAATGAATATGTTGAGCAGACAGCCCAAGGGGTACTGTTTATTTTGGCAGAGCGAAGAACCTACTTTGGATATGGAGCAAGACAGCAGAAACTTTGCAATGGATGGGTAACAGTTTGAGAGTGCCATTGTTATTCCAGTTCTCATGAAATGGTGAAGAGACTGCTTGTAATGGGGCAAGTAGGATGGCAGATGAGCTTAACCTGAACCTTAATGCAATTAGGGTATGCTGTTGTTGGAAGAAATCAGGCTCACTTACCCAGCTGGGAGATCAAAGTGCTGTCACAATGAAATGAAGCTGCAAAGCCAGCTGCTGGGAGGTCTTTATTTGTGGTTCAAAAATGATACAGGCAGCAATATTCATTACTTGGACAGCTGACACAGTAACCTGATGAATGCATGGATTTTTAATATAATTCTAGAGCTTTGAAATATTTTGGGTTGTAAAATGTTTCTTGAATGTGTATGTGAAGATGCTTCAGATGGTTGCTATCTCTTGTATTGTGGCTAAGGTATTATGTCCTGTCTTTGAAGGCAGATGGGAATATAAATTTAAAAGGGTCTTTTTATCCTTCTGTTTTAATCTGTTTTGTAAAACACTGTGGATATTAGAAGTCTGTTTGTGGATTTGGATCAGTTTCCTGAATGAAAACAATGTATTCATTGCCACTTGAGTTCACTAGAGATATGAATAATGCCTGAGGCTGTTTAGTGCTATTACTGATAGAGAGGGACCAGACATGAATTGTTTCTTATTTTAGGAAAGTTTTCCTTTTTGATAAAGACATCTTTCTATTGTTAATTTTTTGAAGGGTAAATTCTTTGGGGAGGGAGTGCCTTCTTACACTGTATTTACCTGAAAATCAGCTATATTTTAAGACAGGGATGTAAAACTAAAGGCCCCTTAGGTTGAATCCGGCCTGTGGGATGCTTAGATCTGGCTCTGGAAACACAAAGGACCAGCCTGCGGTGCCTCTACCAGCAAAAACAGAGCTCTGGAGGGCCATGGGCAGCCCTCCTGAGCTCCATTTTCGCTGGCAGAGGGTTGCAGGAGGCCTTTGCAGCCAAAAACGGAGCTCAGGAGCCTGTGATCGCTGGCAGAGCACCCGGGCCACTACAAGTGCCCCCAACAGAAGTGATGTTGAGCTGGCCACGCCCAGCCTGGCCATGCCTCTTGCCCACCCGAGGTCAAACACAACCCTGATGCAGCCCTCAATTAAATTGAGTTTGACACCCCTGTTTTAAGAGAATCTAAAATAAAAATTTCATTCTAAATCTAAATTTAGTAAATAATGAGGATTCTTTTCGGGTGCATCCAGTGTTGTTATAGGCCCATGATGGCACATATGCCTGAAGTGGCACACATGCTATCATTGTCCTGTATATTTTTCCTTATACAGCTCACTCCATTTTGAAGTCAAAACCTTTTAAAAAATGAATAGAATGATTACTTATCCATCTTCCTAGAGTCCTAGAGCATTTATAAAACAGTATATTACTGCGATGGTGAACCTATGGCCGTGTGCCTAAAGTGACATACGAAGCCATGTTGCCCGGCACGCCCGGCCTTCCTTGTTTGTCTTGTAGGTTTCTGACATGTATGCACGTGTGATGATCAGCTGTCCTTTGCGTGTGCAGCAGTGCTGAAAACCAGTGTGTGCATGCGGGCCGGGCAGCTGATGGTTGGGTGTGCATGTACGCCAGAACCCAGAAGTTCCATTTTTCTGGAGCATGATCCCTTCATTTGTGTGGCGGTGCAGAAAAACAATGTCTGCACATGTGTGCTGGCCAGCTGATCATTGGGCGTGCATGCGTGCTAGAACTTAAAAGTTTGGCTTTTCTAGAGCGCGGCCCTGACAAATGAGCACAAATTTCTGTGCATCCCTTTTGGCACTCAGTGAGAGGCTTCTTTGCCTGCCAGCCGCTTCCCAACCACTGAAAACTCAGGTCAGGTTGTCTTCCAGAGTCTGGATCAGCCGCTGCAGTAGGTAAGCTGCATGAACAAAGATGCAGTGGTGGGGGAGGAAACGGGGCTAGGGCCGGGGACGCTAAAGGAGGGGAAACAGGGGTGACTGGTGGGGGTAGATAGGTAGAAATTCCCCCCAAATCCTAACTTTTCTTGTAGGCGTGGCTTGGTGGGAGGGTCATGTGACTGAGTGGGCATGGGCGTGAGTGACATCAAGTTGGCCAACACACACAGTCACATGCCCTCCCACCTGGTTCCATCGAACGTTGCTTTGAATTGTGGGGGAGGGGTTTATAGGTTATAGGTTCATAGGTTTATTTCATTTATATGCCGCCCTATTCCCGGAGGGACTCAGGGCAGCTAACAAACCCAGGGGAGGGAGTAATACAGACAAGGCAAAAACAACAAA